TCTGCCCATATTAGTTACACTCTGTAAAAACTTCTTTTGAGGTGTTAAAGCATCCTCCCTATAGTCCTGATCTTGCTCCATTGGACTTTTTTACCTTTTTGGTCCCCTGAAAGCAGCCCTTGAAAGATGAAGATTCACCTCTGATGAAGAAGTGAAGATAGTGGTGCATTCGTGACTCACAGCTCAGTCTTAAAACATTTTTTATAAGGAATTTGAAAGCTTGTTGACAAGTGGACAGAGTGTATAGGAAAGCAAAGAGATTATATTGAAACATGATGTATTTGGCTTTTCTAAATGTTGATTAAAATCAGTTTGACAGCCAGAATGCAGTTAATGTTTGACTCACCCTCGTACTTTACTTAGCTTAGAATATATTAAGGACACTTACAAATAAATAAGGAAAAGACAAGTCAGTAAAAAGATTAGCAAAATATTTGATCAGGAGGAACTTCAGAATAGAGAATATCCAAATGGACAAGAAATGCATGAAAAGGTATTTAACTTCATTAATCACCAGGCAACTGCAAATTAAAATTGTAGTGCAATAACACCCACACATTCAAGAAAAGGCAAAATTGAAAAGATTGACAATACCAAATGTTGTTGAGGATGTGGAGCAACTTATGGAATCTGATAGTATTCTTAGAGAACTTGGAATGGATGATGGGGGAAAGTTTCTATAAAGCATTCGTAAAGGTGCAATTCTTGGTCTCCACCATTCCTGAAGAAAAAAAGTCGAAGACACGTGGAAACAATTACTCCAGTGGGCTAATGGACCTCGAGAGCATCAGTCTTCACAGTCCTGAGTCCAGAAGAACTAGATGGGCTCTTCTGCCACCATTTTAAATCCAGCTGCATACAAGGGTCCGCCACTGCTGCTGCCACTACATGGTCTGCATGCCAAGCACCCCCTGCCAACTGCTCCACCACAGTGGAGGACATGAATGAGTACAGCAACATAGAGGAATTCACAGAGGGATCCAAGATAAACATGAGCAAGAATCAGCAGCATGAGAGTAAAATGTTTATTGGAGGCTTGAGCCAGGATACAAGCAAGAAAGATCTGACTGAATATTTGTCTTGATTTGGAGAGGCTGTAGACTGCACAGTTGAAACAGATCCAGTCACTGGATGGTCAAGAGGATTTGGATTTGTGCTCTTCAAAGATGCTGCTAGTGTTGATAAGGTTTTGACACTGAAAGAGCACAAAATGGATGGCAAAGTTGCACAGCCCAAAAGTATATAGGCAGCAACAGCAATAACAGAAAGGAGGAAGAGGTGCTACACCTGGTGGGAGAGGTGGTACTAGAGTTCATGGACGAGATCAGGGCCAAAACTGGAACCAAGGATATTATGATCAAGAATATGGAAATTACAGTCGTGCCATTGGTGGTGATCAAAACTGTAGTGGCTGTGGTGGATATAATTATACTGGGTATAACTGTGGGAACTATGGATACGGACAGGGATATTGAGACTACATGGAGTCTTGGTGTGGCGCTGTGGGCTAATGTGTCAGACTGCAAAGTCGTTTGAACTGCAAGGTCAGTGGTTCAAGCTCACCAGCTGCTCCTTGGAAATGTATACAGGGTCACTATGAGTCAGAATCGACTCAACGGCACATAACAACAACATTCAGACTACATTGGCCAACAACATATGGTAAGACATCTCAAGGGGGTGGCAGTCACCAAAACAATGACCAGCCATACTAAGGAGGACATTGGAGAAAACAGGAGGAGATGCTAAAGTAACCCATCTTGGCAGGACGACATTGAAGATTGGTCTATTGTTGACCTAAGATGACTTTTTGTAAAAGACTTTTAGTGTACAAGACACAATTATGTTCAACTGTATATAGCTGCCACTTAGTTTTCTTCGTTATTACTTTGTCCTTTGCTATCTGTATTTTGACTTGATATGGATTTGTGTTTATACAAATTTTTATTTGTATGATTTCATGTTAAACCTCAAATAAATGCTTCCTTATGTGAAAAAAAAAAAAGAGAGAGAGAACCAGATGGTACCTAGTTACCACTACTAACTACTCTGAGAGAGATCATATTACAAGGTCTTTATATAGAGTGGGAGAAAATGTGGCACAAAACTCAAAATGATAAAACAGAGACCAAGCAGGGACTGCTTCATAACAGTATTTTGAAACAACTTAATGGTGATACTAAAATCTCAGCTTGGAAAATTTAAATGTTAATGTAAGGTATCTGATATATAATTGTTGCTGAGATTTAACATTGTACATACATATAGAGAGAGAGAGAGAGAGAGAGAGATTGGGAGAGGAGGAACAGAAAGAACATGCTTTTATGTTTCTATCTGTTCTCTCAACTCCTCCCAGTGTAGGTAAGGTAGAGATGTGGATCTCTTTCTTATTTACTAATCCAGACTTCTTTTTTTTTTGTTTAAAGGAAACGCAAATATTTTCATCATGATCAGCTGGATTGGGATGAACATAGTTCTGCTGGTAGATATGTTAGGAGACGCTGCAAGCCATTAAAGGTAAAAGAAAAAAAGACCAAAGGTCATAAAAACAAGTTTTTATTCTAATATCTTTCTAAAAAAATTAATTTTTCTTTTAGGAATTTATGCTTTGTGATGATGAAGAACATGAGAAATTATTTGACCTGGTTCGAAGAATGTTAGAATATGATCCAACTGAAAGAATTACTTTGGATGAAGCTTTGCAGCATCCTTTCTTTGACTTATTAAAAAAGAAATGAAATAGGAATAAGTGGTCTTACTGTATACTTCTGTAGAAGAGATTACTTAAGACTGTGTCAGTCAACTAAACATTCTAATATTTTTGTAAACATTAAATTATTTTGTATAGTTAAGTGTAAATACTGTATGTTTTGTATCAATAGCATACTTACCTTGTTAAACAAATTTGGTCTTGGTACTGAATGAAATATATATAAAGTTAAAATTTTCCTTTTTGAGTTTATCGTTTTTAAAGACCTTTGGAATATATTTTGTGTCCAGTGATAAATGTGACTGATCTTGCTTTTTATATATGAAGGTTGGCTCTTTAATGTAATTTTTTTTTTTTTGAGTAAAAGGAAATCTTGACAACTTTGTTCTTCAATGAATATTCTTTATATGCCTCATATTTAGTACATTTTCACTTTAAAATTTTCTTGTAATTGTTGAATAGATACTAAGCATTATTAACTATAGGTGGTACATATGCCAGGTGTTAGAAACCAAAATCCTTAGGAAAATGCCTACCATTGGGAATCTTATTAAGTTGTAAGTAATGTATTTCTTCTCATTGGGTATTGTTAATGATAATAAGTAGGCATGCTAATATAAAGGTATCTAGTTTATCCACCTTGATTTGACTAAAACCACATGCACACTTCATTTAAGATTGAAGTAAAATAGAAAGTCAGCTTGGAGGATCTTATTTGCTCTAAGGGCTGTTTGTTGAGTTGCAATCATATAAACAGTAATTCTGATGACTGAAGTTTTAGTTTTTAATGCCAAGTCCCAAGGAGTTTTGAGTCCTGGTGTGGCACTGCAGGATAAACACTGGACTGCAAAGCCGGTAGTTAACTCGCTAGCTCCTCAGAAACCTTATATAGGGTCACTATGAGTTGGAACTGACTCAACGGCACTTAACAAGGAGTCTTGAAAGTGTCTGACATCTGTTTCCTTATCACATCAAATAAATATTGATATCTCGGTAACAATGAAGAGCTACACTTACTAGTTGGGGAGCACAGTGGCTCCTCCATACAGTGGACTGCCTGCCGAACCACAAGGTCCACAGTTCGAGCCTGCCAGCCACTCTTCAGGAGAAAGAAGTGGCTTTCTGTTCCCAAGAAGATGTATATAAAGCCTTGGAAACCCTATACAGAGTTGCTAAGAATTGGAACCAGCTCAATGGCACTTTACAACAACATTAAGCAGTTTATATTTATGTTACTCCCTACTGGCAAAAAAGAAAGATTTTATTGGAAAATACTTTTTTAGGGAAAAAGCTCTGTAGAAGTTTCTAATGTTTCTAATGATTAACATTAACTTTTTGACTAGGTAGTGTTTTTAATGATCATAGTGGGTTACATGTTGGGCTGCAGTTTAAATCCACCAGGAGAAAGATGAGGCTTTCTGCTCCTATAAATATTTACAGCCTCAGAAACCATACAGAGTTTCTGTGAGCTGAAACTCACTCAACAGCACACAACATAAGCAGTGTTCTTACAATACTTGTTTCTTCATAAAAACTACATGCTTAAGTTAAAAAACAAATCTTATTGATATTGTTGAGGTTTCTAGGTAGAAATTTATTTCATTGTAGAATTCATAATTGTATATTCAGATACAGGTGGTTTTAAAAAAGAGTCCCCATTTCACAAGTGCATTACACCAAAGATTGGAGTTTTATCTGTTCATGTATTTTAGACATAAAATGTGTGGAATTAAGCCAGTGTGGGTTTCCAATCTTGTATCCAGGGACAACATTGGCCAGTATAGGAAAGCCAGGTTCTTAAATAATTTGGGAAAGCTGAAACAAGTTTTCTCATAGAATCATTTATAATTAGGTTTCTGGTACAATCTACATACAGTGAATGTACCTTCAGAATAGTTAACTATGTTGTTAGTGCCTTCAAGTCGGTTCCAACTCATAGCAACCCTGTGTATAGGGCTTCTGAGGAGCAGCTAGTGAGCTTGAACCGCCAACCTTGTGGTTCAAACTGACCTTGTGGTCTAGAGCATTAACCTAGCGCTACATCAGGACTCCAATTCAACACTATCTTAAGAGAGTTTTTCTTTTTAAGGGGTAAGGGAGTATTTGGCTGTTGCTGTGGTGCTGTGGGTTAATGCACCAGACTGCAAAGCCATTTGAACTTCAAGGTTGGCGGTTCAAGTCACCAGCTGCTCCTCGGAAACTCTATACAGGGTCATTATGAGTCAGAATTGACTCGACAACACTTAACAACAGCCTTTATTTGGCCCCATTTACATCGTTTCAGTACTTCTACTACCTAAGCCACCTTCGGTACTCTCCCCAACAACCACTTACTGTCCTAAATTAACCTTTACTTTCCCTCTATCAAAAAGTGGTTCCCTCAGAATAACTGACCTCAGGATACAGGAGGAAAGGAACATTAAGACATTACTTCTTGCTGAGAAATGATTGCTAACCCTCCTATTCTGAAAAGTATTTATGTCCTTCACAAAAGGTACTTGCTAATTCCTGGACTTTTGTGAATAAAAGTAAAAATTAAAAAATTAGGTAGATAAAAGTAAAGTAAAGAATAACTGATTATTTCCTATGTTTCTTGAACTATTATTCAAGACTTTCAGAGTAGATGAGTAACATTGATACTTGGTGTGGTGCTATAGGATAAAGCACTGGGCTGCAAGGTTGGTTTGAACCACAAGGCTAGTGGTTTAAACTCACCATCTGCCCCTTGGAAACCCTATACAGCATTGCTGTGAGTTGGAGTTGACTCGATAGCACTTAACATTAACAATATTAGTAAATTGGAGTCTTGTGGTGCTATAAGATAGGATAAGCACTGGACAGCAAGGTTGGTTTGAACTGCAAGGTCAGCTGCTCCTCAGAATCCTTATACAGGGCTACTATGAGTTGTAACCAACTTAATGGCAATAACATTAGTAAGTTAGCAGATAAACTAACCTGTGAATTTTTTATAGTTCATTAAATTTAGAAAACTATTTTGAATAATCTTAAAGTGCTAGATGCTAGAGAAACTGGAAATGACTTACGCAATTATCCCAATAATTGTGGCTGAAATGTGATTTGGGGAAACTCTGGTAGCGTAGTGGTTATGAATCAGATTGCTAACCTTAAGGTCAGCAGTTCGAAATTACCAGCCATTCCATGGGAGAAAGATGAGGCTTTCTGGTCCCATAAAGATTTACAGCCTCGGAAACCCTGTGCAGGGTCACTATGCATCGGAACTGACTCCATGGTGCTTAACAACTTAACAAGTCTACTACTTGTCTGTGATGATGCATTGATTCAAAACTTAAACTTTGATTCTTGTTCACAGCTCTACTGTGAAAAAATTTGGAATGAAAAGGAAAGTAATGGTTAGTTGTTGGTTCCAACTCAGTGACTTGTATAGGGTTTCCAAGGAGTGCCTTCTGGTTCAAACTGACCTTGCAGTCCATTGCTTATCCTTCAGTACCATACTGGGACTCCAGTGGTTAATAGAAATTATTAATTGGGTTTCATTTATTCATGTTTGATTTATCTGGACATCCTGGATTGAATTGTTTTGTCTGTTAAGCAGCTTCGGTTTTCGGGTGTTGTTTTTTTAAACTTTTTATTGTGAATTGAGTGAAGGTTTACAGAGCAGATCAAGTTTATATTCAACAAATCATATACTTTGCTTCATTATATGGTTGCAATCCCCTCCATACCCCAGCAGTTAACAGCATTTACCTCTATTCACTCCAACCACTGCATTCCTCCCTGTGCCTCCTGCCACCCCCATCTTTCCTCTGGTTGTAGATTTTCTGCCCCAACACCCATGTCAATGCGTGTCTACCCTCTAGTGCATGTATCATTTTCTTGTCCCCAACAAACCATCATAAATTATTTCTTTTATCAAATAACCCCCTCCCTTTTTTTCCCCCTTTCATGTACAAAAATAAAGCAAAACAAAAAAACCTATGCAGGGATATATAATCATTTAAACAACCAAAGGGCATGTTCTGGGAACCAGTCTCCTGGCCGCCAACACACAGCTTTTCTCTTCCATGAGTCCTCAGATGCTCTATCTCTCCATATCATTACCTCTGCCTCCATCTCTGCTGTCGCTGCTTCTCTGCTTAGAGTCCCATGTACAGCTCATACTCTTCTTTCTTGATGGTCCTAGGGTCCTCTTCCTGGAAAGCAAAATTAACTACTCCCCCCTTTTTGTTACATAACCTCTACCTGTACAGTTGTGACTATCACAATTAGGTAGGATAATAACTACTCACTATTGAATCAATGAATCCCATCCCCATCTCCTTTCACCAGACCTATCTTGACAAGAGAAAAACTGTTCAGTGGGGATTCTATTTTCTCCCACACACTCTGAAACTGAACTCCCTCTTGAAAACTTGTAAGCCAGGCACTTTGTGTCTTTATAGTTACCCACCCACCCCCCATTTTAGGTAGCCAATGTTTAAGTTGCCCATCCCTATCAACCCTGTGTACAGAGGGAATATAGATTTGATCCTTGATGTGAAGATTCCTTCCCTCTTGGTTGGTATTTTGAGCTACTACATCCATAAGTATAGGTCAAGTTCATCAAATTGCAGCAATTTACACATGCTTCCTTTAGTAAATTTCTTTATCCTTCCTCTAGCAGAGTTCTGATATCAAGCCCTCAAAGCTAGGTCAAATGGGTACTATCTGCAAGTTTGGGTATTTTTGTGCATTTCCTCTCACTTCATATCAGCTGGATGCTTCACTCTCAGCTCTAACCCTCTGTGGCTAGGTCCTTGTCCATGGGTTCAGGAGTCCCCAAGTCTTACTACACTTCGGACTAACCAGCCCTTTTCTCTCTCATCTCAAGGTCAACGGGAGACCATATCTTATTTGCTGCCTTTTCCCCATTTCTTCTCACAAGTAGACCAATGCAATTACCAGCAAATTCATGTGCCCGCTCATGTGTTCCTTTTGAGTTTCATTCTTGGAGAGAGGATTGCTTGCCTTGATGGCTCCCTAGTAAAAAACTTGCTTGTTCTTGTAGTAGCCAATCAGACTGTCATTTTTGGTTTTGATTTTTCCTGCTGGTCTTTCTTTCAAGAAGTATCTTTTGTCATATGGCTGCTCCAGGCTGGTGTGTATATGCTGCCAAGTGGGAATATCCCACCTCAGTAGGTTTGGATGGGGCTCAGGATTCCACCTGCAGTACTATAGACTACAGAGGCTCCACAAGAAACCTATTTCACTGGACAAGTTCTACCTCTTTTAGGTATTCCAAAAGCAGCCTAGGTTTTAAACTCCTTTTCAGTTTGAAAATTCTGATTCTCACAAAACTTGGTGCAAGTAAAATATTTTAAATAATATTGATTAACATGGTTTTTGTTAAGTGCCATCAAGTCAGT